CCACGTGCGGGCGATCGCCCAGGTCGTCGGCAGTGTACCACTCGTCGCCCTCCTCGAAGTGGGCCGCGTAGTGGCCCTCGGGGTCTGCCAGGAGGCCAGCAGGGGCAATGCTTTTTTCTTCGGGCAACTTGTACTGGACGTAAGAGCGCAGACGGTGCACGACATCTTCCCCACCCACCTGCAGAGCCACCTCGGGCACGTCACCCCAGTCGGGGAGAATGCCGATGCCGCTCATGTAGAACAACGTGCCGCCACGCCCCCATCTCGGATCCACGTAGACGGCCAGCACCGCCGGCTTGGTTGCCAGTGCCCTCATGGAAGTGCCGCGACGTATCAGCTCTCGCATGTTGAGTTTCTGCGTGCCCTGGGCGATGCTCATGAACTCCTGAGGAGATATGGCGTCGTCGCCGTCGTGTGCTCCGTCAACGAAATACGGGAGACGCATCGCGACCTCCTCATCGCCGTTGGATGAGGTGATGTGGAACAGACTGTGAAGACTTGGCGCGTCTTGTATCATGTCCAACAGCGCCCCGCTCGCGTCCGCGCACCTCCCAAGCTTGTACTCGAAGCGGTGCTTCGCAATGAGCGCTTCCACGAGGGCGTGCGGCGACCAACGGTCCACGCGGAGGCGCGCGCGCGCCTCGCCGCCGTCGCCCTCCGCCAAGCTCGGCGGCACTCCGCGCGCGCAGGCGGTCGCCAGGGCGCGCAGCTCCTCGAGGGGGGGCGCGGAACCCATGCCGGCTGCCCCCCGCCCCCCGCCCCCCCCGCCCACGCGCCAATCGTCTCCCCTCCCTTGCGGAGGGAAGAACGCCAAAGGCAACCAGAGGCCGTGCTGGAGCCAAGCTATCGACAAGATTTCCCCCGCCCGGGGCCCTGCGCGACCAGCGGCTCGTCCTCGCCCTCCGCCCCCAGGAGCGCGGCGCGCGCGGCGGGGCAGTGGATGAGGCACTGCAGGGGCGCGTTGAGGTAGCAGGTGTTGCGCAGGTTCGAGAGGCCCGGGTACGGGCGCTGGCCGCCGGAAGACCGATGCAGGGCAGGCTGCCTCCAGCGGTCCTCGTCGTGGACGTCGTTCCCCTCGCGCCAGTGCTGGTGCAGCATCAGCAGTGCCTGCTCTGCGCCCTCGGCGCGCTCATCCTCCAGCCTCGATTCCCGCTCGGCCTGCGCCAGCGCGTCGATGCGCGCCTTCGCGCTCTGGGCCGCTGGCGTGAGCTTCGTCGACATCCCCCACCTGTGCCATCTCTGCGCCAGGACTGCCTCGGGCCCCTTCCGAGACGTGCAGCGCCGCGGCCAGCGGCCGTGGTCATCGTGCCAGGCCAACGCGTCGCGAAACGTCGCGGCCGCGAGGTCCCGTCGGCCCCCCGCTGTCCGCGGAGTCGGGCCCCGGAGGCCACCCGCCCCAGCGGGCTGCCGGGGGCGCCTGGCCGAGGCGCCCGGCGTCCGGAGACCCCCCTTCGGGCCCGATGCTGGAGTGCACGCGGCAGTTCTCGGCGCCGGGGAACGGCGGGGCGAAAACTTTCTTGTCCCCGTCACTCGGCGCCGAGGGGGCCGCTCCTCCTGCTGGCGCCGCGGCGTCTGGGGTTCCCCAGCTAGGCCCTGCGCGTGCTCAGTGCGCAAGCGGCGCAGCTCCGCGCGCCCGTCCGAGGCGCGCTCGACCCGCCTCCGATCCGCCAAAGCCGCGGGTGTGGTCTCCCGCAGCGGCCCGTGCAGAGAGGAACCATCTCTTGCTAGCAGTCGCACCTGGAAAGTCACTCCACGTGCTCGCTCTTTCTTATCCACTCTGATCCGATAGTCGGCCCCGCTGCCCTTCGGGGGCATCTGCGCGGCGCTCCGCGCGGCGCGCCGCGAGGGCCGCGGCCCGCGGAATCCTTCCGACTCGCGCCCGTCGTCCCGGGCGGGGAGTCCGGGCGACGAGCGGGGTTTGTCTGCGGCAGGTTGCGCCCGGCGCGCGCCCGCGGGTCAGCGGCGCCAGCTCGAGCCGCAGCGCGCGCGGGCAGGGCGGGGGGGAACGAACGCATCTCGAAAGGCGCAGTGGCGGAGTGGCGGGCCAGGGCCTAGTGCCCCACGATGAATTCCAATGCGCCCCAGGATGGCCCGCGGGAACAAGGCGCCGCTGGTCCCGCATAAGTCTTGTGAGACCGACGTAACCGAAATCCCCTCCAGCATTGCCCCCGCGGGGCCAGGCGCCGCTGATCCCGCGTGACTCCTATGAAGCCGACGTGGCCGAATGGGCGTTTCGGGCGGCCCCAGGTGTCGGACGGCCTCGGGGACGCCCAATACGTCCAAAAAAAGCGTTCCAATGTGCCCCAAGATGGCCCCGGAGAGCAAGATGCCGCTTGTCCCGCATAATTCCAATGAGACCTGCGTGACCGAATTTGTGTTTCGGAGCTCAGGGCGAGAAACAATGGGTCCTGATGAGAAGCGGCTGGCGAATTGCTGCCCGACTCCAAGGCTAGGCCGAGCGGTGCCAGACGGCCTCGTGGGCGCCCGCTCCAAGACGTACGGGTTCCAATGTACTCCATGATTGCCTCGGGGGGCCAGGCGCCGCTGGCCCCGCGTAAATCCTATGGCGCCGACGTGGTCGAATTGGCGCTTCGGGTGGCCCCAGAAGTCGGACGGATGGTTCCATTGCACCCCCACATGACCCACAGGAGAAAAACGCCGCTGGTCCCACATGAATCCTTGGAGGCCAATGTCACCGAATCTACCTTTCGAACGGCCCCAGGTGCCATTTTTTTTTTTTTTTTTTTTTTTTTCTACAGCCCAAGACGGCCCAAGAGGCCCCCAAGATCGCCCAAGACGCTTCCAAGATGGCCCCAGAACGGCCAGGCCCCCAAGATGGCCCCAAGAGCGCCCCAAGACGGCCAAAGAGGCCTAGGACGCCCCAAATGGCCTCCAAGACGGCCATGAAACGCCCCAAAAGGGCCCCAAATCAGCCCAGAGAGGCCCCCAAGACGGCGCCCGACGGCGTCAGACGGGCCAGGAACACCCTAAGACGGCCAAAGAGGTCCCCAAGAAGCCCCCACAACCCGCAAAAAGGCTCAGGAGGCCCCGAAAAGGTCTCCAAGAGGCCCCCAAACCTTGAAAGCTCCCAAGAGGCCCCAGAGTGCCCCAAGAGGCTCCCAAGAGGCCTCCCCCTCCTCTTCCTCCTCCTCCTCCTCCTCCTCCTCCTCCTCCTCCTCCTCCTCCTGCTCCTTCCCCTACCTCTCCTGATCCTCCGCAGGTGTTCCCCGAAAATCTTCCAGAACGGCAGGGGGAATGCATAGTCCGACAGCTTGGCCAAGCTGGGGTCCAACGTTTGGCCACAGAGGCGCTTCCCGCAAAAGCAGGGGCGGCGGTGATTCGCCGCAGGCGTTTTCGATAATATCATCACTGGGGCCCCTCTTCATCTTCATTTTCCTCCTCCTCCTCCGCCCCCTCGTCCGTCCCCTATTCATTTTCGTCCTCATTCCCTCTCCTCCTCCTCCTCCTCCTCCCCCGCCCATGCCCCGGGCGACTCGCGCGCCGCCATGCCAGGGCGCCGCGCGCGAGAGCAGCAGGGCGAGGAAGAGCAGGGCGAGGGGGAGGAGGAAGGAGGAGGAGGAAAATGAATAGGAGGAAGAAGGGGATAACGCAGGAAAGTTGCAACAGCTGCACGACGCGCGCTGGCGCGCCCGAACACTTGGCGCACCGGGCGCACGCGAGGCCCGCTGCCTTCAGAGCAACGAGCCATCGGTTGAGACATGTTGCGTTCCACTCAGGCGTGCTGGGGTGTAGTTTCGGGGGCCTTATTTTGTGTCATGCGACGCGTCGCCGCGACGTTAAGGCTGACGTCCTACGGATCGAAGCAACTGCGCACGTCGCATGCGCGACGTTTTTTTTCCCGTCGCCATAGAAACCCGGTGAAAAGCAGGAGACCTCCAGGATTTTATTGCCCAAATCCTGGAGGTATCCCGGCAGCGTTTTCGCAGTGAGTTCGAAACAAATCAATCGAACGTCCGCATCAAAACCTCAGCGCGCGGATTTTTCCCCAAGTGGATTTTTCCCCAAGAGGCCCCCCACGAGGCTCCCAAGTTGCATCAAACCTCACCTCCAAAAGCCACCGAAAGCCTTCCGAACAAAAACTCAAGATACATCCATCAATATCGCGACCCACAGCCCAAGCAAGATGGCCCGAATCTGGCCAGGCCTGCCTCGAACACGCCGCCAAAATGGCCCGAATGAGTTCCAAGAGGGGTGCAAGAGGCCACCGATGCGGACCGAAGAGCGCCCGAGACCGCCAAAGATGGCCTGGTAGACCGCCCGGTTGAAAAGGCAGGAAAGAGGCAGAGCCGACATATGCATCGACGTTGCACTGATTCGGACACTTTTTTTCTGGACGGCGGCGCCTTCTATTTGTAGTCGCTGCTGTAGGAAGCCCGCATATTTGGTGTTACTTCGGGGCGCGTTTTCGCGGCGCGCCCGGAACGAATTTCAACAAAAAAACGCCACGCGACGATTTATGCTAACGTCCTTTTGGTTTGGAAGATCTGGCTCGCCGGGCGCAGCTGCCTTTACTGTTGTTTTTTTGTGTTGCCCGGGAAAACCGGAAGTAACACCAGCAGTCTTCGACGGCCCAGAACTCCCAAAACACCGAGACGTTTACGCGGACCCGCAAACGTTGAATTTTTGTGGAAATCGGTTCGTGCGACCGTCCGATAGCGTCTGCGCAAGGCGAACGCCCCAGCGACCCCCAAAAAACAATTTCAAAACATTCGCGATGGTCTTGTCCTTCTACGCACCCGAAAACTCTCTGTGCACGCACGGCGAACCCCATCTACCTGGCAGGGCGCGGAATTGAAAAGTCGGCGTTAGTGACGCCGCAAGGCGAACACCCCAACGACCCCCAAAAAACAATTTCAAAACACATCGCAATGGTCTTGTCCTTCTACGCACCCGAAAACTCTCCACGCACGCGCGGCGAACCCCATCTACCTGGCAGGGTGCGGAATTGAAAAGTCGGCGTTAGTTACGCCGCAAGGCGAACGCCCCAACGATCCCCCTTAAAAACAATTTCAAACAATCGCTATGGTATTGTCCTTCTACGCACTCGAAAACTCTCCACGCACGCGCGGCGAACCCCATCTACCTGGCAGGACGCGTAAATTGAGGAATCGGCGTTAGTGACGCCGCAAGGCGAACGCCCCAACGACCCCCAAAAAACAATTACAAACAAATCGCGATGGTCTTGTCCTTCTACGCACTCGAAAACTCTCCACGCACGCGCGGCGAACCCTATCTACTTGGCAGGACGCGAAATTCAAAAATCGGCGTCCGTGACGCCGACGGCGGCGGCGGCGGAGAGGGCGGCGGCGGCGGCGGCAGAGAGGGCGGCGGACGACGACGACGACGACGACGACGACGACGACGACGACGACGACGACGACGACAACGCTGGCGCCGAGGGACTCCCGCAAAGCGAACATCAATGTCCATGGCTTTATGAATCCGTTCGTACGATCGGAGAGGCCATGAGACACCCGTCGCTGAAGAATCCTAGACGCCGGTCGGGGCCAGGCCACCGCCGCGATGGTTCGGATTCTTTGCAATGGATGGTTTCACAGCTAAGTGGACTCAACAAGCATGGACAATGATGCTGCGCGCGGGCAACAAAGAGAAAGGAAGCGAGCAGGAGGGAAAGGAGGAGGAGGAGGAGGAGGAGGAGGAGGAGGAGGAGGAGGAGGAGGAGGAGGAGGGGGAGGGGACCCGCTCTCCCGTTCGCCTGTGGGGCCGCGAGCATGACGCCGACGGCGGCGCCGACGGCGGCGACGGCGGCGTCGGCAGCGGCGACGGCGGCCACGGCGGTCCTCCTTCCTCCTCCTCCTGCTCCTCCTCCTCCTCCTCCTCCTCCTCCTCCTCTTCCTCCTCCTCGTCCTCTCCTCCTCCTCCTCTTCCCCTTCCTCCTCCTCCTCCTCCTCCTCCTCCTACTCCTCCCTCCCTATGGGACCACGAAACGTGTGAGGGGTGTGTCAAAGCGGGTCTGCGGCGCCATGCGAGGTGCGCCACTTGGACCTGAGATGGAGCTCCCTCTGGGGCCACGAAACGTGTGAGGGGTGTGCCACAATGGGGCGGCGGCGCCATGCGAGCTGCGCACCTTGGGCCTTGGGCCACGCAACGTGCGAGGGGTGTGCCACAATGAAGCGGCGCCGCCATGCGAACTGCACCACTGGGACCTTAGGTGCAGCTCCCTGAGGGGCCACGAAACGCGTGAGGGGTGTGCCAAAGTGGGGCGGCGCCGCCATGCGAACTGCGCCACTGGGACCTTAGGTGCAGCTCCTTGAGGGGCCACGAAACGTGTGAGGTGAATGCCAAAATGGGGCGGCGCCGCCATGCGAACTGCGCCACTGGGACCTTCGATGGAGCTCCCTATGGGGCCACGAAACGTGTGAGGGGTGCGCCAAAGTGGGGCGGCGCCGCCATGCGAACTGCGCCACTGGGAGCTAGATGGAGCTCCCTATGGAGCCACGAAGCGTATGAGAGGCGTGCCAAAGTGGGGCGGCGCCGCCATGCGAACTGCGCCACTGGGAGCTAGATGGAGCTCCTTATGGGGCCACGAAGCGTGTGAGAGGTGTGCCAAAATGAAGCGGCGCCGCCATGCGAACTGCACCACTGGGACCGTAGGTGCAGCTCCCTGAGGGGCCACGAAACGTGTGAGGGGTGTGCCAAAGTGGGGCGGCGCCGCCATGCGAACTGCGCCACGGGGGCCTTAGATTGAGCTCCCAATGGGGCGACGAACCGTGTGAGGTGCGTGCCAAAATGAGGCGGCGCCGCCATGCGAACTGCTCCACTGGGACCTCAGG